TTTTTCCAAGAGTTTATTACATTTAAAGTCAAACAAGAATGAGAAATGAATTGCTGATTTCATCCTAAAAGAGAATAATAAAGAAGGAAATATGTTGATAGTTGAAACTCAGTGTGGAATTATTCATTCTTTTTTTGTGAGCATGGGTCTCTAAAGCAATTTTAGGTCCAAATAGCAATATTACGAGGAGGCATTCCATGCACTGTGGATGTTTTCTAGGCCATTTGGCACTGGCTTTCAAGAAAAGGCTGTTTTTGTGGACTTCAGCGTGGAGTGGGCCCTGGCAGAGGCACCAGTGGCCTTGCTGTGCGTTTGACAAGTTGGCCCAGGGAGCCACACGATGGGGGAATGCAGATGAAGGGTGTGCGTGTCACAGAAAAGAGAGAGATGCTGATTTGGCCTGGCTTTCTGTTTTAATGTTCCCTCTCCCTACATTTATTAGCATAGATTTCTAAGCATCTAGTTTTTCAAATAGGTGATAACAACAAAAACAATCAATAACGAGGGACATGCCACTCTAGCCTTTGAGCTATGTCCTTTAAGACATAATTGTTTCGTAGGGATTTGAATATTCTTCCTTCGAACACTTGCAGAACTTTTTCCTTGAAGCCAAGAACAATGTAAAAGATTCTAACAGTCCAATATTCTACTTTTCAGACACAAAAGCAACTGAGAAACACTATTCTATATAATGTAGCTACTGTATGGTAGACTGTTATATTAGTCCGTTTTCATGCTACTGATAAAGACATACCCAAGACTGGGAAGAAAAAGAGGTTGAATTGACTTGCAGTTCCACATGGCTGGATGGGGCAGCGGGGGTCTCAGAATCATGGTGGGAGGTGAAAGGCACTTCTTACATGGAGGTGGCAAGAGAAAATGAGAAAGAAGCAAAAGTGGAAACCCCTGATAAAACCATCAGCTCTCGTGAGACTTATTCACTATCACGAGAATAGCATGAGATAGATCGGCCCCTATGATGCAGTTACCTCCCCCTGGGTCTTTCCCACATTCACAACATGTGAGAATTCTGGGAGATACAATTCAAGTTGAGGTTTGGGTGGGGACACAGCCATACCATGTCAACTGCACATTCCATTTTCACAAAATTGTGAGTTAAAAACATTTTTTCTTTCATAAATTTCATTAATAGCAATTATGCTTATAAGGTTTATTGATCTATAGTACATCCTTATAGAGTGTATCCACTCAGTAGTTCCATGGTATAATGTAGTTTTACCAAAAAGTAGCACTGGAACATTCATTCCTTTTTTTATTTGTAATTACATCTTTTTAAAGTAATATCATTTTTAATTGGCAAATTATAATTGTATACATTTATGGGGTAAAAACATTCATTCTAAAATTCGTAATTTATCCTTGATTTTCTGTAAATAAAGCTTGTAAATATTGAGTTCTAAAGACTACATGTCAAAAGATAGCATTGAGTTAATCAGAATACTCATTTTCAATAACTATTTTTAATTTCATATTATCAATATATATTAGGTTTGTGTAAAGGTAACCGAGGTTTTTGTCATTGAAAGTATGGCAAAAACTGCAATTACATTCACACCAATCTAAAATACAGGTAATTCTCTATAATATTCAGGTGCATTATAAATTAAATGTAATAATTTTATTTGAATCTTATGATAGTTTATTAAGTCTTATCACATAAATTACTTGATATTCAGCCTGATCTTGTTAATTAGGCAATACTCTTTGCATCTGTTTTTTGTTTGTTTGTTTGTTTGTTTGTTTGCTTTTTAAGAGAAAAGATCTTGCTCTGTCACCCAGGCTGGAGTGCAGTGGTATGATCATAGCTCACTGCAGTCTTCAACTCCTGGTCTTAAGCAATCCTCCTGCCCCAGCCTCCCTAGTAGCTGGGATCACAGGCATGAGCCACTGCTCCCGGCCCTTTACATCTTTAGATACTAGGTACAAGAGGTGATGTCTGGAGCTCTTAGGGAGCCCCCAAGGCCCTGTAAGTAATGAGTGACATAATCCAGTGGGGTTCTGGGTTTCAGAGGCTGCTCAGTGCTTCCCCCCAGATGAAGTTTCCTCCTCTCCCACTCTGGGAGGAATTTGTCTCACGTCGTGTTCTTCCCAGTTCTCGTCCGTGGGGGAGCCAATGCCAGGAATTATCTCAAGATACTTTTGCCACTGTGTGTCCTCTGATCTCAATGTTTCTTGTTCTCAATCATTTTTCTGCTGCTTCTCTGACTCTTGTTCAGAGATCTATCATTGTATAAATAAAAATAATTAAAACCAAGGGATGCTGAAAGGTGAAATAAAGGATTATTTTAACCTGCTGACTATAGTCAGGGCTTAACCATAGGATCCTGTTGTCAACTGCACAGTATACTTATAATATTGAAAATATAAATACACAGAAATCTCTACAATCTGTGACTATTGAATGATATGACATTTAATCGCTGGCATTTATGTGTCTCTCCCTATTTTTTTTTTTGTTGTTGTTGTTGTTGTTTAGTCATTTGGATTTCTGTAGTATAAATAATGCTGCAATGAACATCTTTAAACATTTACCTTTTCCTTCTTGGAAATCATGCTCATAATAGAGATTTCTGTATATGCATTACTAGGTTTAATGTTATAATTGATTTTTTATGGCTTTATTCCAATGACTTTCCCAAACAGTTGTGGCAAATAATGTTGCCATCATTTAGTTACTCAAATGACTCACTAGCATTGCATATTGTTATTTATTTATTTGAGATGGAGTCTCACTCTGTTGCCAGGCTGGAGTGCAGTAGCGTGACCTCGGCTCACTGTAACCTTCGCCTCCTGGGTTTAAGAGATTCTCCTGCCTCAGCCTCCCAAGTAACTGGAATTACAGGTGCCCAATCACCACTCCTGGCTAAGTTTTGTATTTTTAATAGAGACGGGGTTTCACCATGTTAGTCAGGCTGGTCTCGATTTTTTGACCTCGTGATCCGCCCGCCTTGGTCTCCCAAAATGCAGGGATTACAAGCGTGAGCCACTGAGCCCAGCCTGTATATTGCTATTTTAAAGAGGAAACGAGGCCATTTCATTAGTTTATTAAATAGGAAAAAGCTATGGATAATAACGAAACTTCATGGCTCCATGGAATGCTTAATATTTGGCAAATGTTAATGAAGACAAACTCCAAACAGCACTTACATTAATCTTGCGAACGCCAAGGTCACGGTGCAGGCCCACATCATACATTGCCTGGTTGCTATCTTCCATATGTTCTCACTTAATCTTTATGGTGATATCCAATCGCTTTAATATAAAACACAGACTGATTCATATTCTGAGCCTTACCTGTCTCTTAAATCTAATCTCTGAGTAAACCCACATCATGCCCTCTGTGTTCCCATCCCCCATCTGGTGGCCCCTCTGCCCCGTCCTGTCTTTTTTCCTGCCCACCTCTACTTTTTCAAGGTCCTGAACACAGAAACAAAAAATTATAGAATTCTGGGAAACACCTGCCATAATAATATATTGTTTGATTTTCCAGCATTTATTTACAAGTTTCAAAGCTACAGGCTCACTCCAATATTGTCAATGGTTAAGGAATTTACATATAAAATTGAAATTTCCATTTCACTTCATTCTCCACAGGAAAACTCCCTCTGCAGAAGCTCGAAGCCTTTATTTTATGACTTGATTTTCAGTTGATTGTGAGGACAATGACCGGTGACATGCTCTTTAAAAACTCATTGTGTTGCCTGGCGCTGAGGGTGGGTTTCAGCAGAATTACATGACAGGGAGGAGGTTCTCCCAGAACTGGTGCTACACAGTATGGTTTTGCTGCTGTATTAGGAGCAGGTTCCCAGTCTAATGGGAACTACCTTTATGGATAAAGCTGTGCCTAAACATTCAAAGATGCTAGAGAGGGCTTCTGCTGCTTCGAGTACTCACACCGTCTTCAACAGAGTAGGCGAGAGGAGTCTGCACAATGGCTCATTTAGCTTTAAGATTACAGTATCAGATGACACCTAATTTATGGATTAGTTACTTCTTACTAATTAATGAGTAAATGTTTAAACCACACAGACTGCAGACATTGATTATCTCTTGTCTTACCTAGAGTTTATTCTAGGGAACATAAAAGACACAATGATAAAACACAATAAATCATGTTATAAAAAATGGTACTGACAGTAGTCGCCAGCTTAGGGATTATACAGTTTTTTTTTTTTTTTTTAGAAAAAGACTAAAGAGACTGGAATGGATTTTCCTATTATATAAACAGTTAAACAAAACAATGACATATTTCCCAGTCAGGAGTACTTAGACGGGTAGTATATTTCCTGTTTAAAATGGAATTATTAGGTACATGTTCACCCAAATTCTTTGTGGGCCCCTTTTATTATTTGTATTACTTTTTCTGGGGCGGGGGGGCGGTGGGGAACGGAGTCTCGGTCTGTCACCCAGGCTGGAGTGCAGTGGCGTGATCTCAGCTCACTGCAACCTCCGCCTCCAGGGTTCATGCCATTCTCCTCCCTCAGCCTCCCGAGTAGCTGGGACTACAGGTGCCCACCACACACCTGGCTAACTTTCTGTATTTTTAGTAGAGACAGGGTTTCACCATGTTAGCCAGCGTGGTCTTGATCTCCTGACCTCATGATTCACCCGCCTCGGCCTCCCAAAGTGCTGGGATTACAGGCGTGAGCCACCACGCCTGGCCTGTATTACTTTCTTAAATAATTTACATCATATGCCTTTTTTCCATAGTAAAGATTATCAAATTTATTTTTGGTATGTGCTACATTCCTTTTAAAGAGCACACTATTTTATTAAATGCATATGGTTATAATTCTACTACTACTAATAACATCCAGTTGGACTGGATGGCAACTGACTCCTTAGAAAATATACATTATTAAACTTATATCCAACAACTTCATCTTAAGCAGCTACATATGATGACACTCCTCCTTCAAATTCCGGAGTAATTTAACCTCTCAAATATACGCTTTATTTTGTCTATTTGTTTCTTTCAGCCTATGAATTACAGAACTGTCCAGATCCACCCCCATTTCAGAATGGGTACATGATCAACTCGGATTACAGTGTGGGGCAATCAATATCTTTCGAGTGTTATCCTGGGTACATTCTAATAGGCCATCCTGTGCTCACTTGTCAGCATGGGATCAACAGAAACTGGAACTACCCTTTTCCAAGATGTGATGGTAAGTTCATCATTTCGCTTGGGGACAATTTAATGTTTCATGGGCATAATAGCACATTAAATATTAAATGAACATATCCAATAATGTATTAATGTATTCAATAAATATTCATTGAGAATCTATTATGTTTTACTCACTCTACTTAATATTTAAGGAATATGTCATATACTAGTAAGTTAAAAGTGGAAAAGAAACCCTTGTTGCCAAGGAAATTATAAGGATAGCAAAATAGTAAACACAAGAGGAATGTTATACTCAGCTGCAGGTAAGGAGATGGCACAGGCTTGGCAAGCCATCAGGGAAATCTCCGTGAAGTCAGCAGCGTACAGCTTTACAGTGGTTATATCAAATTGTCGGACCAGAGGGAAAAAGGGTACTTATTAATTTGATCTTTGGTATTTATTTTTGTTTAGCTTTTACAATAATTGTATATTGCTTTTGCATTTCAGAAAAATGAACTCATTTTTGTAGTGGGCCTTGAAAGGTACATAGCATTTTGCTACTTGGAGGTGGAACACTCCAGGTAGAAGAAACAGTGTCAGAAAAAGCGCAGTATAGATGCAGTCTTAGGAGAAAACAGTAGAGTGGTCTAATAGTGTAGGAGGAGGGGCTCTCGGGAGAGGTTGGAGGAAAGTTCTTGTTCAATGGTGCAACAGAAGACCTGGTCTCTTTAGCTGTCCTTTCCTGAGCAGGAATCCTGACTTTAATGCTTCTGTGTGACTGCCTAATTTTTATGATGACTTTGACATTTTTTCAATATCAAATTAAAATAATAGATCCATACGATGTTTAGGAAGAATACATATGTAATAGAAAATTGACTGTAAACCCGATATTCTAACACTATGCATACAGGGCCTTTGAATGAAAAAATAATGAAATTACCAATTCCGTGGACCTTTGAAATACTAAACACTTGTATCCTGTGGGGAAAAGGGAAAGACATCTGGCCGTGCTTTAATTTCTACTGAAGAAGTAAAAGAAGCACATCAATAGACTTTTTAAATCACAGTTTTTACCCATATTTATCTATTCTATATTATTATAAAAATAACTACAAACACACTTTGGGAGGCCAAGGCAGGCAGGTCACGAGGTCAGGAGTTTGAGACCATCCTGGCTAACACGGTGAAACCCCATCTCTACTAAAAATACAAAAAAATTAGCCGGGCGCGGTGGCGGCGCCTGTAGTCCCAGCTAGTCAGGAGTATGAGGCAGGAGAATGGCGTGAACCCGGGAGGCGGAGGTTGCAGTGAGCTGAGATCACGCCACTGCACTCCAGCCTGGGCGACAGAGCGAGACTCCGTCTCAAATAAATAAATAAATAAATAAAATAAAATAAAAAATAACTGCAAACAATTATTTCACCATATTTTAAAAGTATTTTATCTTAATCTAATATTTAATTACATATAAAATAGCACTTAAAATTAATTTTATAAAATAAGGATAGCAGTAACCTATCTGGGCTATTTTTCATTAAAACATTTTTTAAATCTTTAAGTCTACTTTCCATTCTAGAAACTCATATATATGTATAAATTCCTTTGAAATTATCAGGATTGAAACCTCTTATTTGCAAGTTTGGTGTGAAGACTTTGAATTCATATGTAAATGGTAGACTCTCTAGCTTGATATTAAAAAACTACAATTAAGTATCTAATTTGATTTTATTGCTTTCTCAAGCTTAGTTTTTCAATATGGAAATAACTGCTCTGGCTTAGAATTATTTTGTCAGTGTGAAAATAACAAAATCTACCTTTTTTGATAGAATTTAAAGTGATGCCACCTTTCCTAATTCTAACATGGTGTATAACACCATCCAGAATTAGCTAAACTCTGGATGAGTTTAAAGCCTAAAGCCCTTGAGACTCCCAAAACCAGCCTGAGGCTTCATTCTCCATTAGAAGAACTCAGAGACATCTCTAAAACTGTCATGCTTGTCGTTATGGTTTTAACAGGGAGGGGATATGTCAGTATCTTCCAGGGAAAAGACACGTGTGGCCGAGTCCAGGAGGATGTCTCGCTCTCTCAGAAACTCCATGTGACCACAGGCAGAAGACCATCACCCTGGTCACCTCTTCGGGTCTGAGTTTTGAGGTTTCTAGTGGGGCTCTGCTTTGTAGGCAGGACTGAGGGATGGAATGTCCAATGGCTGATCTTGGCCTCCAGGTAGACAGCTGTGCCCCACATGCCCCAGCCTAAGCTACATGGTTGGTTTTTCTGGTGTAACCAGCTCCCACCTGGCATTGCTAGATCGGACCAATTACATACTCCACAAAGACCCCTCCTAGGAGTGAGCGCAGAGGCCAGATTTCTCTGGTCCATGCCAAGTTCTTTACTAAACAAGCATTTGTACTATTATATTTCTATTTGTACCAATACTCATAAACCAAATTAAAAAACTGAAACACAGGATTCATGTAAAAGTTGATCATAAATATTGAAAGAAATTAGAGGACCTATATAAAGGATTTTCTAAGAACCATCTAATGTGTATTTAATATCCTTTTCATATTAAGAAAACTGTTATTTAACACAAAAGGTGCTTTACTTGTGAAAGTTTATATTTCTTAAAGAAGTCATTGATTCATAAGAATGAGGAGGCTGTTCAGATGCCTATTGGGTACGGTTATATGGCACTTAAGTAAGTCTTCCCCAGAGACAGCAGTAAACACTGCTGACAACCCAGTATCTTCATGTAACATGTATTTTATTAATTGACAGTGGTTTATCATTTCGGATCAATGGTTGCTACATAGGTCAAGTGTACTGAAAAACCATCTTCAAAGGTCCAGCCTTGTAGACTTCAAAAGAACTTCAGAAAAAATGGAGATACTTTAAACAACTTCTCGATGTCTTTATTAAAAATTGACCAGTTTCGATAATTAATAAAATAATTCTAAATCCTAAGGCATCAGTCTTCACAAGTATATATGAAATCAATTTGTATTTACATACTGAAAATACATGTTAAGCTACATAAGAATCTATTACGTGAAATTAATACAGTATAAATTTATCTGAAAAACTGTGATCTGAAAGTATATCTATGAAAGTAAACAAATGAAAGAAAATGTCTCTGAAAGTTACCTGAGAAATTCAAGACATTATTTTTCTGTCAGTAACATAATTACACAGAAGCCTCAGTTAAAAAAAAAAAAAAAAAAAAAAAGGTTATAGAGGCCGGGTGCAGTGGCTCACGCCTGTAATCCCAACACTTTGGGAGACCGAGGTGGGTGGATCACTTGAGGTCAGGAGTTTGAGAACAGCCTGGCCAACATGGCAAAGCCCCAACTCTACTGAAAATACAAAAATTAGCCAGGCGTGGTGGCAGGCACCCAGCTACCTGGGAGGCTGAGTCAGGAGAATCACTTGAACGCGGAAGGTGGAGGTTGCAGTGAGCCAAGATAGCGCCATTGCACTCCAACCTGGGTGACATGAGCAAAACTCCATCTCAAAAAAAGAAAAAAAAAAATGGGGTTATAATTGTTAAAATATGTTTAAGAAACTGAAATGTTTATGCATGAAAGTATGCTTTAGGTATCAAAAAAATGTTAAACACTATCATAACAACTTGACTTAAATGCATTAGTATGTGTATAGTGGGGAACTGCATAGACGGACATAATTATTAGTGTAAGTAATATGTTGTGATAGGTATGTTAGCAGCTTCTTTGAATTTGACAGATTTTGTAAGCAGAAAACAATTTTATTGCAAAATTTACATGAGAAATGCAACCAGCTAAACAATGTATTATTACATACATACTTTTTGAAATTAAGACTTACCAAGTTGATTGGTAAATACAGAAAATAATCTTTCCCAGTAATAGAGAATAAAAATAACTGTAAAGAATGCAACTCTGTCTCTTTATTTTTCTTACTTACATTCACAAATACAGTTTTTAAAATCTCCATTACCAAACGACAATTTCCAAGGCAGAGTGTATTCTGGCTTCTTATCTGAAAATACCTCTAAGGAAACCAGAGTAAGAGAAGGAAGAAAAATGATGGCAGAAATAACTCTGGTGCCCTACACGGTAGGGGAGATTAAGCTTTCAGTATCTGGATATATTAAGAGTCAGGATATTTTTATATTAATAAATATTTACATATATATTTATATTTATTATAACATATTTACTATATTTTATATTAATATTTATGCCAAGTATATTTATTAGTTTTTTAATATGGAATTTCTTTCATATTCTTAATGTTTAGGCAAAAAACTTAACATAATTCTAGAGAAAACCATCTATAAATGATAAGCCTCTTAGCAAACATTCAAGGTTTTAAAATTTAAATTATTTTGTTTTTACTTTATTTATTTGAGATGGGGTCTCAGTCTGTTGCACAGGCTGGAGTGCAGTAGTGCAATCACCGCTCACTGTAGCATTGACCTGCCAGGCTCAAGCAGTCCTCCCACTTCAGCCTCCCAAGTGGCTGGGACTATAGGCATGTGCTCCCATGCATGACTAATTTTAAAAAAAAATTATTGTTTTTTTTTTTTTAATAGATGGGATCCCCCTGTATTGCCCAGACTAGTCTCGAACTCCTGGGCTCAAATGATCCTCCTGCCTCAGCCTACCAAAGTGCTGAAATTATAGCTATGAGCCACACACAGCCAGCCTGTTTTAATTTTAATTTGATGTAACATCACTTAATATGCCCTATCCATCTCTCTTCACAGAAAGTCACATTGCATAAAGAGAGGAAAAGGTAGCACAATAAAGAGATGTTTCCTTGTACCTCCGCCCTCCTTTGCCAATGTGTGCCAGCCCACCAGTTGATTTTCTGGTATCTTCTAGCTCTGGCTTCACACCTGAGCAGGAGTCAGTCACATATACCCATCACTTTTGTGTGTGTGAACCACCAAAGGTCCCCCCTTCCCAGGGATATCAATTAACGAAGGGAAGCCTCGGTGGTGTTTGAGGCAATGGTAGAGAGTGGTGCTGTTGGGGAGGTCAGTGGTGCCAGGGTACCTGGGCTAGTTTGCCATTGGGCATGACATTCAAGTTAGACATCACCGCCATCACTTTGAACACAGCGACTGCTGGCTCTAGAATTGGATCAAAATATGCTGCTTTGTTATCTTTATGTGCTTATTCTCTGGAAAAATACATGAGCAAACAGCTTCAGCAATTCCCTCCTCCACCGCCTTGCACCGCAATGCTCTCTCCCACGTGCACATCCGGGTATTCATGAGCACGGAAATGCGTGCGCGTCTCTTTACTCCATGGCTCCCGAGACTGGAGGGAGTGTGGCCTCTCCATCTCTTTCAGTTGCTGATGCCATGGCCAGCTGCTTGTCTTCCTGGTCAGGCTCGGACCAGAGTCTCCCAGGCAGACAGGTGAGGAGCTGGGAGGTACCTGCTGTACTCCACGCAGAGCTTCCTCCTTCATCTCACTCCAGACTCCACTTTGAAGCCCGCCTCCAGGGAAAGGAAGGCAGGGGGGATGCGCTTCCTGCCGAGACACGCACACTTCCTGCGGAGGCAGATCACAGGCCCGCGTCTCTGCGGAGCTCAGTGAGACGCCACCACTTGGGGAAATGCAAGCATGCCTTTGATGCCACTCCAGGGAGGCTAAAGACTTCCTGGAACTAGATAAAGATCAGGCCAAGGAAAAGGAGAGGGGAAATTTCGACTCCAGTTTTTTTAGGGTCTTCTTTTTTTTCATCTCTAGACTACCCAGTGGGAGGGCAACAGGATTTTGCTTTGAGAGAATTTTGTGTGCTCACGGATAGAATGTTATTATCTTATGTGATGATGAGCGTCTCTTCTTTTCCTTCACAGCACTTGCACCCGTTGAATTTTAAACTTCTGTAGTGTTTGCTTAATATCTCTTTTCATCACTGTTCAGTAAGCTTTTTACAAAGGCAGCAACAGGGTCTCCACGGTTCACTATGGCGTCTCCAGCCCCAAGCACCCTTTCTGGTACATAATACACTCTCAGTAGATACTTGTTGAGGGAGTGATTGAAAAGATTTGTTATTTGGATTTCATAGATAAATCATGGCAAGAATCACTGACTTGCTCAATGTCATAGAGCTGTTCAGTGGCATAAAGAATATTGGAATCAGGAATGTGTTCTACCAAGAAAATCACCACCTCATTTCTTTTGCCCTTTAAGACGTGGGAACAATGGCTTTTTGTTTTGTTTTCCCAACAGGAAGGGTGCTACTATCTATAATGTGGTTAGATAACTTCAAGATTCAACTAGAAAAGCAGAAATGCAAAAGGGAAACCTTAGCATTGTAAGTCCACACTAAATTAATAGCATGGAGTCACTCGTAAAGGGTTTCAGCCTAATTGGTTTTATGAGTTTACTATTAAAGTGCTTTCTGGTTATTCTCTAATTCATCAATTCATCAATTTGTTTATCACGATCCGAGCTAGACAATAGGGACTGATGAAAGGAGGTAGCGGCTGGGGTGGGAGGAGGAGACGCAGACCATGTCTCCTAGAGGCTGACAGTCTCGTGGGAGCTGTGTGGTCTGTGAGCAGATGGTGGACCTCTAGAGCCAGAGCAACCAGGAAAGACTTTAAGAAGGCAGTGACAAGGCATTGAGTTTTGAAGGAAGAGACAAATTTGCCTTGGCAGAAAATAGAAGAAAGGCATGTGAACACTCCCTCGACGTCTGGAGGGAGGAAAAGTGCACTGCCAACAGGAGACCAAAGTAGCTTGTTATGGGGACAGCGTGGTTTATAGTCCCATTATTATTATTATTATTAATTATTATTAGAGACAGAGACTCTCTCTGTCACCCAGGCTGGAGTGCAATGGCACAGTCTTGGCTTACTGCACCCTCCACCTCCCGGATTGAAGCAATTCTCCTGCCTCAGCCCCCCAAGTACCTGGGATTACAGGTGTGCACCACCACGCCTGGCTAATTTTTGTATTTTTAGTAGAGTTGGGGTTTCACCATGTTAGCCAGGCTGGTCTTGAACTCCCGACCTAAGGTGATCCACCCCCCTCAGTTTCCCAAACTGCTGGGGTTACAGGCGTGAGCCACCGTGCCCGGCGTATGGTCCCATGTTACAGATGACAAGCTTCAGGAGTGTCCCAGACCCTGACCTCATAGAATTTACAGAAATGGAGGCTCCCAGGGGTAATTTGCTTCTCCAGCTTGCAAATCCAGGTTTGTGTGACTCCAGACCTCACTTAGTAATAATGATGCTGTAAAACTTTTAAAATAGTCTCTAGATATAGTCCTTTCTTCTGATGAAAGGATCCAAATCTCCAGTCAGGTTCAATCCAATGTTCTTTTCAAATCAATACACATCTGTGCGGTTCAGTGGTTCAGCAATGTATCATATCCTGCCTCACGGTATATTCTCACTTGTTATTAAACTTTTCTTTTGTTTATCTGTTTGTGTATTTGGGCCTTTTTCCTCCACCTAAATTCTATACCATCTTTGGCAGCCCTTCAAGGTTCAAGAGAGTTGTGAACACTCATCTCACACCTCTTAGCTGTTGGTTTGATTTCAAAGTTCAAAGTTTTATGACTTTGATGCACTATGTTTGAATTAAAGACTGTATTTCAGGTTATTCCATTAGTACTTGGACATGTCGTTTTCCATAAATAAAATAATTACCATTAAAATAATAAATATACATTTCTTAACAAAAATGAAAATAAATTGGGTATTGTGGTAGTTCTTCAAGTTGTTGAACACTTGTAAAAACTGGAAATGCTTCCGTAAAACATCACTCACATAATCTTACATTACATTATCTTACTTCTTCAGGTGTATATCCGAAGAAGTAAGATAAGTAAAGAATTGATAATGTTTTTGTTTTAAGGCAAATAGACTTAGATAAAACTGTTTCAGATGACTTGTAAATAGGGTCTAGCGGTGTGAGTTAGAAAAAGCAGTTACATAGTTATGAATACTTTCCCCATAATTCATTGTGCTGGACACTCGAATGGGTTATCAGCAGGTCACAGATGATAACTAAGGATTTTATTTGAGTCATAGAAGAATAAATTTGTCCTAAAGGAATTTTGAAGATATGGAGAATATATTAAATAAAACTGAGATAACTTAGCTTAGACATATAATTCTTCTAAGGTCTTCAAATTTTAGGAGAGTAATTTTGACAAAACAGTCATCAGAAATATTTCTCACTTACTTCCCTTCAGGAAAAATGTTGGCTAAGGTACTTTGGAGTCAAATATTTAGCTTTCTACTTTCTAAAATCAGCTGTATGGCATTTGTTTTTTCTTGGCTTCCTTCGCAGCCCCTTGTGGGTACAATGTAACTTCTCAGAATGGCACCATCTACTCCCCTGGCTTTCCTGATGAGTATCCGATCCTGAAAGACTGCATTTGGCTCATCACGGTGCCTCCCGGGCATGGAGTTTACATCAACTTCACCCTGTTACAGACGGAAGCTGTGAACGATTACATTGCTGTTTGGTATGAGAAACTCTCAAGTCAAAATATCTGTAATCGTGATAAACAATTCTGACTTAGCATACATATGCCATTTATATACAGGGCACATATTTAGAATAAACTTCTTAGATACTAGAGAAGAAATTCAACGAAATCCAGAGATATAGGGAATCAATTTCACATAGTACATGTGGGTTTTGCGGCATGGTAGAAATAGGCAGAATTGTGTCTGTGTGTCTGTATCTGTGTGTGTGTAGAGGATGTGTGTTTGTGGGTGTGTGGGGGGTATATCTGTGTGATGTGTGTCTCTATAGGTGTGTATGTGTGGTGTGTGTGGCTTGTGTATGTATGTGTGTGGCTTATATGTGTGTTTATGTGTGTGGTGTCTGTGTGTGTGGCGTGTATGTTATGTGTGTGTGCATGTTGTGTGTGGTGTGGCTGCACTCTTGTCGGAGCCCACAGTGGAAGCAGGAGCAGAAGCCAGTGGCCAGGGCAAGTAGAAGCAGAAGACCATGCTGGCCAGGCTGGTCTTGAACTCCTGACCTCAGGTGATCTGTCCACCTTGGCCTCCCAAAATGCTGGTATTCAAGGTGAGAGCCACCGTGACTGGCCAATTTTACCTCTTTCTGGTAAAAGAAAGAGTGCTTACAAAACTCCCTTTATGCTTGATGAAACAATGACAAAAATCACGCAACATGGATGAGGAAAGGCGCGCTGCTGTTGACATTTGACCAGTGCTGAGCGCCTGCTGAACACTAATGAAAGACAGAGACTGGAGGGTTCCTCAACTTTGTGGAAATTCAACATCTTGGTGTTTACAAACACAGTATCCAGAGAGTGGATATGTTTTATTGCTTTTATAAAAAAAATCAATTCATTAGCCAAAGTTTCCATTAATCTCACTCAGAAGTAAATATACTTAGACGGCCGCCTCTTTCTGTCTTTCTAGGGATGGTCCCGATCAGAACTCACCCCAGCTGGGAGTTTTCAGTGGCAACACAGCCCTCGAAACGGCATATAGTTCCACCAACCAAGTCTTGCTCAAGTTCCACAGCGACTTTTCAAATGGAGGCTTCTTTGTCCTCAATTTCCACGGTCAGTTGATTTTCACTCCAGTAATTAAGACTGAGAATTCCATGTGGTGTTTCCTGCTGAAGTTTCTTGACTCAGCTGAGGGCATATATGATTCTCTTGCATTGGAGGCTACTGTTTCCTGTGGTCCTTTTTTTGTTTAATGATATCTTTATTCTTTCACATCATATCAAGCTTGGATTTATTCCAAGATACATGTATCCTAAGTGAAACTCTGAGATGAAGACCATCGAAAGAGATTTGGTACCTTCTATAGATTTACTCATCCCTGTCTCAAGATAAGATGTTATAGCAAATGTCATGTAACTATAAATGGTGTGAAAGTGAACCTCCAATAATCCTGGGAATGCACTCTAAATGGTATGCAGAACATCTATCAATCAATCGCTTATCTCTCACGAACACTGCCACCCACAGAATTCCTCGGGACAAGGGACAGGGCAAATGTTAGCAAATCTAAATATGGACAGGGAGCCAGGTTGACTGTTGAGTCATTCTTCTTGCAAAATTCCAAACATCTGTAAAGTGTGTTTCTTTAAATGCTATACTTTAAAAAATAATTGTATACTTTTTTCCTTGGGCTTTAACTATTTTTTGGCATTAAATAATAATATGAACATTTGAAGCTTGGGAATTTTATAAAACTATGATTCATGAATATAGACATTTCAGTCAGCATACTTAAGCATTATAACAACTGTCAGGTGAATTTTTGTAATACTTGTGTTTATTCAGCAAGTGTAATTGCAATTATTATTATTCTTTCCATTAATCATTTAGCATTTCAGCTCAAGAAATGTCAACCTCCCCCAGCGGTTCCACAGGCAGAAATGCTTACTGAGGATGATGATTTTGAAATAGGTAATATTTTCTTCATTACAATACCATGAACTCAACACGACATTTTTTTACACCCACTTCTCATTGTAATCATTACTCAGACAAGTTAATGAGTAATTTGTCAGAGAAACAAAAACGAAAACAAAAAGCAAACTATCCTTAAAGTATTGCTGAGAACTTATGCAGAGGTCATGTGTCAAATAGAAAATGTCTGTCCTTCTTCATTACCATGATTTTTTTTGTTTTGCCATTTGAATTTTAATGTCATTTTGAACATTTTTTTCCTCTACGACATTTGCTAATCGTATTTGCTAGACAGACTTGGGCAGATATCTGCATTTAGTTAGGGGGACACATTCATGCACTTGAGAAAAATCTTAATCATTCGTGGCTAAAAGGATGATTACATAACATTAGCATTTCCTTGAAACTGGGATATAATAAGAGAAAATATTTGGTGATGATATTTAGGATTTCTGCTTTATCATTTTATATTAATGATCTAATTTATTAAATACTCTTCTGGTCATACTGAGAAGGCAGTGATGGCATATGTTTATAGTATAATTATTGTAACCCAGGATTTTTCAGTCCCAATTATAAAACTCTGCCCTGTGTTTCAGACCACTGGTCAAACCATGTGACCCGATTTCTGCTGTCCTCACCCTGGCTTAGTTAATTGGAACATTGTGCTAAGTAGGCCAAGGTCAGACATGAGTCTTCATGGATGCTGTAAAGCCATTCGATTCTACAATCTTGCTTAAACCATAGCATCTATTTTCCTTTTTTTAATTTTTTTATTTTTCCATCTGCAATCACTGGGGAAGGGGAACCAACGTGAATGCATCAGTCAAGGAAGAAAAGCTGGCCCATCATTTCAGTACTAATATCGGCTAAGCTTAATAGAGCATCTTTATAAATTAAGAACTTAAAATGGTACTACTTTTAAAAGACTAAAAATAAATACAGACACAGTTTCTAAAAAGATTTGCTAGTTGATTTAATTCATTAAGTAGTCTGATATGTGTAACACCTTCACACGCTCAGAAGGTCACACACAAATTCCTGGTTTGTTGTATTGACTCTTCTAGGAGATTTTGTGAAGTACCAGTGCCACCCCGGGTACACCTTGGTGGGGACCGACACTCTTACCTGCAAGCTCAGTTCCCAGTTGCAGTTTGAAGGTTCTCTCCCAACATGTGAAGGTATGCACTGTTTGATACTAAAACTACATAAACTTATTCAACATGGAAAATTGTATTGTTTGTATTGGTGTGCATTTCTTTGTAGAGGTGTGAATTTATTTATTTTTTATTTATTTTGGAGATAGGGTCTTACTCTGTCACCCAGGTGGGAGTGCAGTGGTGCAATCATAGCTCACCACCGCCTCAACTTCCCTCGTCTCAGGTGATCCTCCTGCCTCAGCCTCCTGAGTAACTGGGACTACATGCGTGCACCACCATGCCTGGCTAATTTTTGGAAATTTTTTATATATATAAACAGGTTTTCACCATGTTACCCAGGCTGGTCTTGAACTTCTGGACTCAAGTGATCCCCCTGCCTCAGCTTCCCAAATTGCTAAGATTGCAGGCATGAACCACTGCACCCAGCCTGCACTTAATCTGTGCTCTGATCCCATTGCAATGAAACTAGCATGCTAACAGAAATATCCAATGATGCTTTTTCTTTTAGCTAGTCCTAGAAAATAAACCAAGGCCATATCAAATAAGAAATCATGTTTCTCACAGCAGTTTATCATGTAAATGTTCAAATATGGCAAAATTGAAATAATTTTAATACCGGAATAATTTAACACCTTAATATACACCACCTAGCTTCCACTAAGAAAACTTACAAAGTATTTCCTTTGTCACATGCCTATCTGTTATTTTTCTAGCCATTTATTAAACTATGCTATATTTTTGATGCATTTCAAGGCAAATTTTGAATATTACTTCATTTTGCTGTAAATGCATTAGCATGCATATAATTAGCTGATGTTTAATATTTTGATGTAAATTTATAAACAATGAAATGTGTACATTTCATGTTTTTCTCACATGTGTTTAGCATATGTAGACCATGTGCAAGAAAATAGACAATATACAATAATAGAACAAGATACTGAGGCTGAATCTGTTGATTTCATCTATTAGAAGACAAATAGGTTACTTTTAAAAGATTGTTTCATAGACACCACTTTCAAGTATCATTGAATAAAAAAGACTTGAAAAACTATACATAAGCTCAAATGCGCAAGTAAGTCAGAAACATCATTAGTTCACCTATCAAAAAGCTTTCCAAATTAGAACAGTTTTTATGCCTTCAAAATCATAATGAAGTGCAGATGTAGGGCTTTTAAGCAATGCGGCTCTTTCAAGGAATCCAACTTTTGTAATTCCTTAGGGTGGGTGATGCAGCTCAAAGGGCCCCTACGATTTAGGAAGGCAGGACCTGGAGCCAGAGTCGGTCAATCAGGCAGCTTTGAGCAAATCACTCTTCCCTGCATTGTGCACAGAGAGGATGATTTATCTGCTGTATTTTTGAGATTGTGGTAAAGACTCGGTGAATATTAAATGAATTTATCTTTTGGAGTATTTTATAATGTTAACTGCCTTCCCTGTAAAAGGAAGTTTTCCTTGCAAAACTATCAACTTGGCAATGGTTTTGCAGATGCTCACACCTGTGAATGGCTCCTCTTCAAAGGTCTGATAACTGGCCGAGCGCGGTGGCTCATGCCTGTAATCCTAGCATTTTGGGAGGCCAAGGTGGGCGGATCACCTGAGGTTGGGAGTTCGAGACCAGCCTAAACCAACATGGAGAAACCCTGTCTCTACTAAAAATAGCCAGGCATGGTGGTGCATGCCTGTAATCTACTCGAGTAGCGCAGCCAGCTACTTGAGTGGCTGAGTCAGGAGAATTGCTTGAACCCGGGAGATGGAGGTTGCAGTGAGCCGAGATTGTGCCATTGCACTCCAGCCTGGGAGACAGAGCAAAACTCTGTCTCAAAAAGAAAGAAAAAAGAGAAAAAAAAGATCTGATAACTTTGTGCATTCTCATTCTGGAATGAGGCAGGATTCCAGGCACCCTGAAAGAGAGAAACAATCTTTTACATCTGAAGAAAAATTGGCATACATTTTGCAATGAATTATTACCAAATATCCATAATAACTTGGATTTTTTTTGAAAAAATATTAACATTAAAGTTGTATCTGCATGAGAGCCATTGATTACAGGAAACCACTACCTGAGCAGAGGGCCAGACCCTTAGCCTGCTTGTCTGTTTAAATGCTCAGCAGACCACAGGCTGTGGAAGTCATCAAAATCCATGCCTCTAGGTTGCCTTACTTAGAAGTGGAGATTGCATTGGGTGCAAAGTCAGGACCAAAGTCATTATCTTCTTAGAAAAAAGCCAACGTCTGTGCCATCTTCCAGGAGCAACAATGGTCTATATATGGGTTCTTTCCTCAAGGTGGGGGGATATAAAAAGTGTTCATCGTCTGCCATTCTATATAAAAATGAACTCAGGCAAACCTTTGCATTTTTTAAGGTACATTTTAATCCCAACAAACAAAGCCTCAAGTTTCTCAGAATAGACGACTTTAAGTAAAGGTGATCTTAGCTGAGAAGAGAAGAAAGGCATACGTATGTATCAAATGTGCTTCTCTAAAAACAGGGAATTTTGGCCAGGCACAGTGGCTCATACCTGTAATCCCAGAACTTTGGGAGGCCAAGGCGGGCAGATCACCTGAGGTCGGGAGTTCAAGACCACCCTGCCCAACATGAAGAAACCCCATCTCTACTGAAAATACAAAATTAGCCAGGCGTGGTGACACATGCCTGTAATCTCAGCCACTCGGGAGGCTGAGGCTGGAGAATCACTGGAACCTGGGAGGTGGAGGATGCAGTGAGCCAAGATTGTTCCATTGCACTCCAGCGTGGGCAACAAGAGCAAAACTATGTCATTTAAAAAATAATTTTAAAAAAGGAATTTGATTAGGGTGTCCTCTGCAGATGAACCTAGTTCTTATTTAAATGATGTTTAATTCATGACAAGCTAAGAACAGAGAACAATCATGCATTGCATGACATTTATCCATGACAGACCATGTAGATAAATGTGGTCCTGTAAATTATAATGAAGCTGAAAATTCCCACCACCGAGTGACGTCTAGCAGTCGCAGTGCTACGGGGCAACGCATTACCTTTTCCATGTTGAGACGTGTTCAGATGCGAGAATACTTACCCTTGTGTTCCAGTTGCCTACAGTCTTCAGTACAGTCTCATGCTGTGCAGGTGTGTCGTCTCGGAGCAATAGGCTACACCATATGGCTTCATTGTGTAGCAAGCTGTACCATCTGGGTGTGTGTAAGTGTTCCTGGACCAGACTGAGGGTGGGGCTGTTATTTTTCATGGCCCAATAACGAGATGCAGATGAACTGAGGAGGAAGAGAGTTTTTATTTCTATAACTGGTTACAGGGAGAAAGACTGGAAATTATCACCAGATCAACTCAAAATTACAAAGTTTTTTAGAGCTTTTATACCTCCTAAGCTATATGTCTATGTGTAAGTGTGCATTTCTTTAAAGACGTAAGTGATTAACTTTTTAAAATGTATAACTAAGGTCTGAGTCCTGAAGACCTTCCGCTGGAGCCTCAGTAAGTTTACTGAATCTAAATGGGTCCAGTGCTGGGGTGATTAGCCTTGTTTTGTCTCCTGTTAAATCACAAAGGTTTGGGGCATTCCTGTAGACCCCGATAAACTTGTCTGTGGAGGTCTGGGGAGTTTCTTCAGGCTGCTAATAAAACTTGTTGAATCCTAAAAGGGTCCTGTGAAGAATTCCTTTGTTACCTCATCATGCTTCAAGGCCCAGGAGAAGCCTGGGGAAACTCTTCGTTACCTTCCAGGCTTTGTATAAAGGCACTGGCTCTTTCAGCTTTTAATATTTACCTGGAACACTCCGTTCCAGTCTTTGTATAAAGGCGCTGGCTCTTTCAGCTTTTAATGTCTAACTGGAACACTCCGTTAGTACTGACACAGTTGTTATGGAGGTCTGCGTTCGTGAGACTGGCCTGCCGCTGAAGTGCATGCTGTTATGTTTGCGTGGTGCCGTGATCCCCTAAAGATGCATTTCTCACAGCCTGTCCCATCTTTAAGTGGCACATGTCGAAATCAGCACAACGTGTGCGTTATTCTCTAAATCTCCTCAGTCGTCACAGACATTTACAGGGAGTGTTCTGCAGACAAACTTCACCAACTTTCACTCACCTCGAAGGTCCCCACACCCCACTCCACTCCTCAGGAGGCACACAGGATCACCTCGTTCTCTTCTCTTTCAAGTCACGGGTCAATTTGCTGAAGACAAACAGAGAGTGATCTTAGCTGTCGTTCTCTAAATGGCTCATCATTTGAAAACAAACAGGAAATAGGACCCCAGATGTCTCTTCCCAAATCCTGAATCACTGAAGCACTTAATTATTGTCTCTTTAAGTAACTTTTCTACTATTTGATTGATTTGATTGTGCTCAAGTGGGGGCCCGTCTCCCAATAAATTCTTCAGAAAAATTATTTTAGCTATTAGTCTATCTTCTTCAAATGTCATAACCACACTTTTAGAAGTTGTGTTTTGAAAATTATTACCCTCCCAGCGCTTTGGGAGGCTGAGGCGGGAGGATCACCTGAGGTTAGGAGTTCGAGACCAGCCTGGCCAACATGGTGAAACCCCATTTCTACTAAAAATACAAAAATTAGCCAGATGTGGTGGCGGGCGTCTGTAATCCCAGCTGCTCTGGAGGCTGAGGCTGGAGAATCGCTTGAACCTCGGATGCGGAGGTTGCAGGGAGCCGAGATTGCATCACTGCACTCCAGCCTGAGCAACAGAGCAAGACTCTGTCAAAAAAAAAAAGAAGAGAAAAAGAAAATTATCACCAATTTTAGGGAAACAAGGAGCGTGCATTGTTCTTTGAAAGTCAGCGTTATATGAAGATGTTACTGTGCTGGACACTCATCTTAATGCAGAAAAACCTGAGTAAGAGACGTCACAGAAGTGGCTTTTCTCCTGTTAAGGAAAAAAGAAGTGTTTCAAAAAGTGAAGAGAATTAATAACAAAGGTTTGAAAACACAAAGAAGGGTGCAACGTTGAGGAAAAAGGAGGGGATGGCTTCCTACTGCTTGCTCTTAGGGTGTTTTGGGGGAAGAAGTAGTAAATTAAATCAGGCTGGAAACCTAAACTAGGACCTGACTTTAAAGGTCTTCAAAGTCAGGTTTCTTCATCCTGTGGACCATGGGGGATCCTTCAATAGTTTTTAGAATATTCATCTCTTTAGAAAAAAAAAAAAAAACATGCATTTTCAATGAACATTAAGGAGATTCAGTGACCTTCTGATAATGACCATTTGGGAAAGCAGCAGACGGAGGCGACATAAAAACCGCTGCTGCCCAGCTCCGGCTTCCTTCTGTGTGAGGGATAACAGCAGGCGTCGCAAGGGTCCTGGGGCAGCCTTTCCCCTCGTTCACAGAGGACTCACCTTCTCCAATTCCGTCATACCTATGGGTGCTTTTAAGAATTAATCTTAGTTACTCATAAATCCCAATTTATGCTATTAATCCTAGAGTACTAATCCTCATCTCCTATTACTTTTGCTGAAGGCCTATGAGATGCACTGAATAAGATGCTTTGGGTTTTAAGCCTCACATTTTATTTTTCTTTTAAAAAGTGCTGGGGCACTAACATTGTGCAGAAGGATGATAGCTCAAAGCATGGGTGGTGTCTGAGAGAGGCAGGTTTTCAGGTGTGTTTTTGACAGACGCTCTAAGCAGGTGCGCCCCTATGGTGAGAGGCTTCCCAGATTCTCAAGTGGAGACACAATTGTTTTCTAATGTGTGATTGCTGCTAAGAAATAAATGTCTCAGCTATACGATCACACTGTAGTCCCTTTAAGCTCTCCCATTCCAAGTGGGTATTGCTCCACGCAACAGTTTATAACACTGAGCAGAAGGAGCGGTTCCATATGAAAGAGCAGAAGAAACACAAGAAAACAAACAAAACCATTTTCGCTCATGGATGAACACATCCAAATGCCTCTTAGTCCGAGCACGGTGGAGGCTGAGGGGGAAGGATCGCTTGAGCCCAGGAGTTGGAGACCTGCCTGGGCAACATAGCAAAACAATATATCTACAATAAAAATACAAAAATTAGCCAGGAGTGGTGGTGTGTGCCTGTAGTCCCAGCTACTCGGGCAGCTGAGATGGGAGGATCGCTTGAGCCTGGGAGGTCAAGGCTGTGGTAAGCCGTGATCCTGCCACTGCACTCCAGCCTGGCTTGGGTGACAGAGTGAGACCCTTCTCAAACAAACAAATTTAAAAACAAAACAACACTTTGGGAGGCCGAGACGGGCGGATCATGAGGTCAGGAGATCGAGACCATCCTGGCTAACACGGTGAAACCCCTTCTCTACTAAAAAATACAAAAAACTAGCCGGGCGAGGTGGCGGGCACCTGTAGTCCCAGCTACTCGGGAGGCTGAGGCAGGAGAATGGCGTGAACCCGGGAGGCGGAGCTTGCAGTGAGCTTCGATCCGGCCACTGCAGTCCAGCCTGGGGGACAGAGCGAGACTCCGTCTCAAAAAAAAAAAAAAAAACTAAAACAAAACAAAACCTCAAAACACCAAAAAAAAACCCAATGAATTTTGAAAACAATATGTATAACTGAAAAAACTATTGCTAAATGTTGTAAGAAAAGTGATACAAATGATAAATGATACAAATGGAAAATGGTACAAATTCTCTACCAATTACTTCCTACCTCTTTAGGTCGGAGAGAATTGTAGAAACTGGGGGTCCTCTGTAAACTAGTGGAAATTATATAACAATTTGCTTATATTTTCATTTTGTCTTTCCTAAGAAACAAAATCAGCATTTCAAATATAACAGGAATAAGAATGGCTATGCTTAAAATGCTACTTCTGGGTTAGATCACTGCATTGCTGTCAAACTCCAGGATGTGCAAATAGTTTCTCAGGTGGATTTTAGCAACTCGGTAAAGGTTTCTTACTTCCAGATGGCCTGAAGTTCCAATGTCATCTGATAACTATAGCTGCAGTTATAAAATCTCAGTCCTCATAAAAACACTGGGCGGAGAGATTGGCTATTTTTCAAGTGTAATCCCACAAACTGAGACGCCGTCTGGTAGCATTTTTGTGTTAGTATGAGGTCAGCTGAGAGAAAGGACAAATAGACCCAAAGTCAGGTGAGTAAGTTTATTGAACCTGCCAGCTCTCCACCACAGGCAGAGGAGGCAGCCCTGAGCTTACAGAATGAGGGGTTTATATGGGGGAGAGAAACCCTGGGGTTGTTTGTTGGTTAACTTTGCCATATATTACCTTGTGACGTTTATGGTAGCAGCTAGGTGAAGGAACTTAGAGGAGGGTGTAGGTAAAGTTTGTTCATGCTTCTCACGACCTCCCTCTGTGTGGTCTGGATGGTTTGTAATTAGGGTTTGCTTATTGTAGTAAGGTCTGATGAGTGAAGTCTGCTGGCTTCTCCTCAGCACTTGGATAAGGCTTAGAAATGTAAAGAGGCGGCCGGGCGCGGTAGCTCAAGCCTGTAATCCCAGCACTTTGGGAGGCTGAGATGGGCGGATCACGAGGTCAGGAGATCGAGACCATCCTGGCTGACACGGTGAAACCCCGTCTCTACTAAAAAATACAAAAAACTAGCCGGGCGAGGTGGCGGGCGCCTGTAGTCCCAGCTACTCGGGAGGCTGAGGCAGGAGAATGGCGTGAACCCGGGAGGCGGAGCTTGCAGTGAGCTGAGATCCGGCCACTGCACTCCAGCCTGGGCGGCAGAGCGAGACTCCGTCTCAAAAAAAAAAAAAGAAAAAGAAAAAAAAGAAATGTAAAGAGGCTTGGGGGAAGGGTGAACAGCACGGAGAAGAAGTGCAGGGCATTCAGGGGATGGGTGGGCAGTACAGAGGGGTTTGTGGGGAGTGTCACCAGTACCAAGAAGTTTTTTGGGGCAGTTTGTCCCTAACAGTTATGAAAAGGTAGGCATGTGGTGTGATCATCCCTAGTCCTTACAACAGTTTCTGCCCACATAGTGCTTTAGATTTAAAAAAAAAAAAAAAAAAAAAAATTGCATATATTGGCTCTAATTAGAACCCTGAGGGGGAGCTATTATTACCCTCTACTTAGAGCCAAGAAAAGCCCTGTATTGCAAAGTCAAGGCAGGTCTGTGGAGCTTCTAAAACTTGAGGTCCTGGCCTGCACAGATACACACAGGCACGAACCCTAATTTCATTATTTTTTCTTTCTTAAAATATCACATTAACTTTGAATGGGCATTGTGTATGTTACAAAGTGATGAGGCCGCCATCACAGAGGAAAATTATACCTTTAACTCAGTTATTTCAATCTGTGTGTTCTGATTAGGATTATTTTAGTTTATATGATTGCCATTAATTTATCATTGTAAATGTTTTTTAAATCTCACCTAAAATACATGTTATTTAAAGAGTTATATGAAATGTTTTATGATTGGTGGTCTTATGTCTAAACATTTTCTAAATTTTAAAATAGATCTTAATTAGAATACTAAGATAAATGGAAGAAAATAGGAAATAAATTACCTTTCAGAAGGCAGTTACTTGAATAAAAACACATAACCTAAGCTTCGCTCATCTGTGTGACAAGTTTCTATCTTGAAATGTATGTATAAATAGCACACATTTAACTAATTAAAAGGTGATAACTCAATAAATAAATTTAACAAAAGTTCTTTTTCATTAAGGAAAAGGTGATTAACTATAGAACTCTCAGCACTCTACAAGTAATTTTGATATACCTTTTTTATTTATGAACCATTACCAATAATAGAAAAAAATTTCCTTTAATAGTTTTATGCACAACCTATTTCTGGAAGATAATTTAGTGATGAGAGAAATTACTAATTAGGAGACTCTGGTGTTTTGTTTTGCATGTCCAGATCTCTGCAGATTATTTTTGTGTTGATTAAACTGGAAGTAGTTGAATAATAATTTTTTTAAAAAGCAAGAGGAGAAAAGATATGATGTATCCACAGTATCTTCATAATGCATTTACAATTAATTCATCCTTTAGGAATCAGGGCTCCTGCTGAGGTGTCCCATGTGGGATTGAGACCAGGTCTCTAATTCTTCCTCTTCCCAGGGTCCTGAGCAATCACATCCAATGTTTAAATATGACTATGCTAAGTATAGTAGTCCCCCCAACCCCCGATCCGAGGTTTCCCTTTCTGCAATTTCAGTTACCTGTGATCAAGCACAATCTAAAAATATTAAATGAAAAATTCCAGAAATAACACATTTAAATTTTTGCACTGTTCCAATTAGCATGAAGAAATCTGTCGTCATCCCTGGGCTATGTCTCACCCAGGGCATGAATCCCACCTTTGTCCAGCATATCCATTGCCCTGTATTATGTGATTGTACCAGAAACGACAGGATACATAGGATTCTGGACTGTCTGCAGCATCAGGCATCACTGGGGCTCTTGGAATGTATCCCTGAGGATAAGGGGGTACTACTGTATATTTAAAGCCAAGATAAATATGAGTTTTCTTTTCTTATTGCATAACATTTCACCGTATTTCTGTAATACTATTTTGAAATGGTGAGGTTCTTCTTTGTAGTAGAGTTAGGAAATCTTCCATTGTATAATGAAATCCATGATGCACCTACCCTAAATTAAGGTGTGTGGGAGATGCAGGGGCCGAAGGAGTGTGCAGGCTGAGTGGAGAGAACTGCAAAGAGAAAGATGCACAATTCTCATGATTATTCAATGTTGCTCTCCCTCTGTGTTTGCAACCAGCATTAAATTTGGCCAGAGCTCAATAAGATAGCTTTTTCCTTTCACTGGCTTGTTTATAAAGGGATAGAAACTATCCTATGGAAGTTGGAATCATTTTATTAAAGCAAACCTTTGCTGGTACTTTTCTCTCCAGCCCAATGCCCAGCAAATGAAGTCCGGACTGGATCATCGGGAGTCATTCTCAGTCCAGGGTATCCTGGTAATTATTTTAACTCCCAGACTTGCTCTTGGAGTATTAAAGTGGAACCCAACTACAACATTACCATCTTTGTGGACACATTTCAAAGTGAAAAGCAATTTGATGCACTGGAAGTGTTTGATGGTAAGTTTCTTTAATCTTTGTATATCAGTGACCTCGGTATCATTCATAAAAACACTATTACGATGTTTTAGTAACATAAAGACTTGAATATACTCTTGAGTTAACTTATGTTTTCCCAAAGCAAACACGAAAGAAACTAGTTTGGGGTTGTACATTCTCAAGAGATCAAGTGGTCTGTAAAACATTACCATATGATTGTTGTGCTGTATTAGTCCATTTTCATGCTGCTGATAAAGGCATACCTAAGCCTAGGAAGAAAAAGAGATTTAATGGACTCACAGTTCCACATGACTGGGGAGACCTCACAATCACGGTGGAAGGCAAGGAGGAGCAAGTCACATTTTACATGGATGGTGGCAGTCCTGAGAGAGAGAGAGAGCAAGAGCGGACGTGCGCGCGTGAGAGAGAGCTTGTGCAGGGAAAAATCCCGTTTTTAAAACCATCAGATTTTGTGGGACTTGCTATCAGGACAACAGCATGGGAAAGACCCACCCCCATGATTCAGTGACCTCCCACCAGGTTTTTCCCACCACACGAGGGAATTGTGGGAGATACAATCCAAGAAGAGATTTGGGAGGAGACACAGCCAACCCACACAATTGTTAACATTGTCACTTTTCAAAGAGTTAGAATACTAAGCAAGACACCCTGAAAGTGTACCCAATTTTCTTTAACCGTTATTTAATTTTTTTTTTTTTTTTGAGACAGAGTCTTGCTCTGTCGCCCAGGCTGGAGTGCGGTGGTGCGATCTCGGCTCACTGCAAACTCCACCTCCCGGGTTCACACCATTCTCCTGCCTCAGCCTCCCAAGTAGCTGGGACTACAGGTGCCTACCACTACGCCCGGCTAATTTTTTGTATTTTTAATAGAGATGGGGTTTCACGTGTTTGCCAGGATAGTCTCAATCTCCTGACCTCGTGATCTGCCTGCCGTGGCCTCCCAAAGTGCTGGGATTACAGGCGTGAGCCACTTAACTTTTTCACATGGTGGTTTAGAGAAGATGATCTCAATAGCTCTTTCTCTCTCTCCTATATGTAATATCAATTCACAAGATATTTTAGGAAACTTAGGCCTAGAGGTATTTTAATCATTATTTTACTAGAAATAAGTAAAAATAATGGCTCACAGAGATTTCTAGATGAGAAACGCTACAGGAGTTTTTAAAGTGTGATTCTTTAAAATGGTGAAATATGGTTAACTGAACACGTGCAATATGTTTTCAACAATAGTCTTATGATTTTATGCAATTTGAATAAAAATTTTAGCAGTGATATGATTAAAAGTAATATGTGGTTGAATTGTCAATTTGAAATGGAAGGAATGTTAATATTTCTCTTTGTGTAAAACCATCATAGCCCAGAAAATTAGAGCAGATACAATTATGGCTGTACATAATAACAGGGTTTTCACATATTTTGACAGATTTGTCATTGAGTTCAGATAAATAACAGTCAATTCAGTGAGAAAAATAAATTATTCTAATTGATTTGATGTGTGTTTGTATTCACTTTACTGAGTTGATGAATCAAATTGCTTGTGTGGATAGACATCACTGAATCAATTAATGTATTTTCAAAAATGAATTTTAATAACTTGGAAATTAAACTCACATTTTTATATATAGAAACAGAGAACTGGAGAGCAGTATTTTCATTTTCAGAGCATGGCTTTTTTAATATATTCGTAAAACAAACATGCATTATTTACAACTTTCCTTTAGTCTGTAGTAGAGAGAAGGAATTCATTAGGCAAGTATAAAAATGGGGGTTTCTCGGCCGGGCGCGGTGCTCAAGCCTGTAATCCCAGCACTTTGGGAGGCCAGAGACGGGTGATCACGAGGTCAGGAGACCAAGACCATCCTGGCTAAACACGGTGAAACCCGTCTCCTACTAAAAAAATACAAAAAAAAAGAAAAAACTAGCCAGGACGTGGTGGCGGTTGCCTGTAGTCCAGCTACTCGGGAGGCTGGAGGCAGGAGAATGGCATGAACCCGGGAGGCGGAGCCTTGCAGTGAGCTTAGATCCGGCACCTGCACTCCAGCCTGGGTGACAGAGCAAAAAAAAGAAAAAAAAAAAATGGGGTTTCTCTTGTTGAGGAGGAAGGGAGGTAAACTCCATTTGAGGCCTAATAGGTATTATGCAAAAATTAAAATGTAGAGTATCCAGCCTCACAGGCTGCATGTCTGTGTTTGTGTTTGTGTATATATAGACATATATATCCCCACAAAGGACATAAAAATATATTTAAATAATTATTTTGAACTTACGCATGTTCTTTCGTTTCACAGTAGTTGAACTGAAATACAGCTGGCCGTGCTTTTAAGTCTCTTACTTTCAGGAGCAAAATATTTATCAATAATTTATGCACTCATGGCTTGCAATTTGATCTCCTACAAATTTGGACAGATCATAGCCATTATAAACAACAGGCAAAATAGACATTAGAGACAATAGCATAATACTTGCTGTCAAAATTATCAGAGATCAATGACTAGGATTGTTCTGGTCTTAAAACTTTTTCTGCAAAGTGAAAGGTCAGAGTTTTATATGAATTTTTTTTAAGCGATGACATTTTTGTTGCAGTAAATGTCATGTTCGTATCTCTCTTTTTTTTTTTTTTTGTAAGTCAGGCTCTTTTATAGTTCATAGGTTGACCAAAAAACATGTTGTTGAATATATTGATTTTAGACTTTATTATCTCAAGCGTATATTACTCTCTGTGGCTTAAGTAGTGGATATCCCATAATGCTTTTTAAAACAGTGTTTTAATCATAATGAAACTCGATTGAGAAGACTGTCAAAATTAAAATTACAGTGTACACTGGTAGAATACTTAGTTTCCATTTTGGTAACAGAAATGGATACCTTCCTTTACTGCTGTGCTGGTTTTCTGCACATGCCAATTTGAATGTGTGCTTTTAAAGACTAGTCTTTCTAGAAGGTTAGTTACATTTTAGACAAAGAGAACAGATAGAACATAATGAGGGTTCAGATGCTGGATTAAGAATACCTATAATTGGCCAGACTTGGTGGCTCACGCCTGTAATCCCAGCACTTTAGGAGGCCAAGGTGACTGTATCACTGAGGTCAGGAGTTCGAGACCAGCCTGGCCAACATGGCGAAACCGTGTCTAACTGCTAAAAAATACAAAAATTAGCTAGGCATGGTGGCGGGCATCTGTAATCCCAGCTACCCAGGAGGCTGAGGCAGGAGAATCATTTGAACCTGGGAGGCAAAAGTTGTAGAGAGCCGAGATTGAACCATTGCACTCTAGCCTGGGAGACAGAGCAAGATTCTGTCTCAAAAAAAAAAAAACAACAAACCTAATCTTGAGTTCTGTCATTAAAAACGACATTTCAAAACATCACAAATTCAGGTTAATTAATTTCCCAGTGGCATTTTATCTCAGAACATACATTATCCTTTTAAACACCAAATAAGCAAACCAACATACCAAACACACTCTGTCTTTGATTATGAAATACAAGCCACTCTTTTGCAGGGCATCTCCCAGGAAATTTGGTCATGACGTTTTTCACAGCGAGAACTATTAATGTCATTTCTTCTCCTCCTCCTTCACTCTGACCAAAGTCAGCGTTGCCCGGTTATTTAATATGCTAGTTTTGGGTTGTGGTTTTTTGTTCGTTCGTTTGTTTCATACTTCTTTCCTAGGGCTGCCATGACAAAGTGCCATAAATTGAGTGGCTTCAACAGACTCTTTTCTTTTTTTTTTTTTGAGACAGAATTTCGCTCTTGTTGCCCAGGCTGGAGTGCAATGGCACAACCTCGGCTCACTGCAGCCTCCACCTCCCAGGTTCAAACAATTTTCCTGCCTCAGCCTCCTGAGTAGCTGGGATTACAGGACCCTGCCACTGCGCCCAGCTAATTTTTTGTATTTTTAGTAGAGATGGGGTTTCATCATATTGGCTAGGCTGGTCTCGAACTTCTGACCTCAGGTGATCCACTCGCCTCTACCTCGCGAAGTGCTGGGATTTCACGTGTAAGCCACTGCGCCCGGCCTCAACAGAAATTTCTGTTCACACAGTTCTGGATGCTGAATCTTGAAGCTCACGGGGTGGGCAGGGCAGGACTCTCCTCCAAGCCTCCCTCCCAGGCTTGCAGATGTGGCCCCCACTCAGGGTGTGACTGTCTTAATCTCCTTTTCTTAGAAAGACACCAGTTATATTGTATTAGGACTCACCCATACTGCCTCATTTAACCTTAGTTATGTCTTCAGGGACCCTCCCTCTCTCTCTTTCAAGTCGCATTTCCAAGTCCTGAGGGTTAGAACTTCAATGTGTAAATTTGAGGGGGACCCAGTCTAGTCCATACAGTCTTACTTGAAACAAATCATGAGAACTGCTCCGACTGGGAGTTCCACAGGGAGTGGAGTGTGGTTTCTCAGCATCTTTGCACAAATCAAATTTTATGTGTAACAACAAAGACAGGTGTCACTTTACTTCATAGAATTTGTATTATGAACAACAGCAAGAGCCGCCTTCTCCCAGTCCATAGTGTGTTCCCTAGGAGTGAACCGTGAAATGCAAAATGCCATGAGCGCGTTTACGAGGATGAGATCGTGTTGGGCTCATTGACAGAGTAGCGTCGTTGGCAGCTCCAGTGCCATGAAGCAGTTTCTCCTGATAAATGGCTTTGGGTTATGGTGACGAGGGCGATGCCGGGTGACTCTCCACTGTGCTTTCTTTTCTTACCTATACATTCAGTATTAACTGTGTTGTCTCAGTGTTTTAAAAATAATTTCAAATACCATAGACAGACAGGTGAAAAATGAAAAAACTAGATATGCATTTCAGGCCTTTGTCAAATTTACTTTAGGCCCTTGTCTTATAAAGAAGCAATGTGTATAGGTAAATTTGGAAGTTTCACCCACATCTAATTCCACTTGTGCCTCTCCTAGAGGAAGTTAGTATTCTGAAGCTGGAGTTGTATGGGTCATGGTTATGCATGTTTTATAACTATTTCTCTATCATCTACACGTACACATTTTATATGTCGCATTTTTTATTTTTTATGTAATTGTTATCCTATTATGTTTATCTCTAAATATATATTTTTAGTAATAATCTGTTATATTAAGAATTACTTATGTGGATATGTGTATAGCTAGTTTGTTAATTTTAATGCTGTGTGAATCTAATTCTTTTTCATGGAATCTTCAATTATTTTTTAAAACTCCAAATTACTAGTTTGATCTAAAATTTACCATGAGAAATCGTGCTAGAATACACATGTTCACTATATAAATAATACTTGCACACATGTGCTAGGGTTCATAGAAATATAATTGAACCTTCAGTTTTACTGGATATTACCAAATAGCCCTCCAAAGTGATTCTACTACTTTATACTTCCACTAGTATTACATGAAAGTTTCTATTTTCCAGTATAAGTGTGATGTTGTAAATACTAACCACAATACATATTACTTTCATTTTTTTCAGTTACTGCTGTTTTATAGACAAAGCTCATTTAAATATGATGCCATTAATAGCATATGCACCTGAAATTATTTTTGTAGATTATTGTCTTATTTTTATCAGAAAATACATCTGTCACTATAGTCATTTGGAATTTGTTGTCCCCTTTTGGAATAATAATGTCTGATTGAACACGTAGACTCTACTGTAATCAAAAGCTAAACCTAGTATGCATTTTGTAGGTGCTCACTCATCTCTGAATGTTTTTGTTTTTCTGTTTCACTTAGGTTCTTCTGGGCAAAGTCCTCTCCTAGTAGTCTTAAGTGGGAATCATACTGAACAATCAAATTTTACAAGCAGGAGTAATCAGTTATATCTCCGCTGGTCCACTGACCATGCCACCAGTAAGAAAGGATTCAAGATTCGCTATGCAGGTAAGTAAATGAGGTTTAGATTTTATATGAAAGTATTTTAAAACAGGTGATTTTCATTGAATAAAACAATTTAAATAGAAATTTACAATATGGCGGGGCGCAATGGCTCACACCTGTAATCCCAGCACTTTGGGAGGCCGAGGTGGGTGGATCACGAGCCTGGCTAACATGGTGAAACTCCGTCTCTACTAAATATACAAAAAAATTAGCCAGGCGTAGTGGCGGGCTCCTGTAGTCCCAGCTACTCGGGAGGCTGAGGCAGGAGAATGGCATAAACCCGGGAGACGAAGCTTGCAGTGAGCCGAGATCGCGCCGCTGCACTCCAGCCTGGGGGACAGGGTGAGACTCCGTCTCACAAAAAAAAAAAAAAAGAAATTTACAATATAATCCTATTTCTTAAAGATTAATAATTAACTACAATAGAAATATATGATGGGGAATTATTCTGAATGATTCCTCTAAACTACATTAGGAAATTTGTTGCTTATTATTTAGAATTTGGTTGTTAAAATTACAAACTGTTGAAATTCATATCATAGAAAGCAAAGACATTTTCCAAAAGATAAACTAATATAATCAAAGTTAATTTTAAAATTTGTTTAAATGGTAAGGAAACAAACAGGAAAAGATAATTGTATTTCTATTAATTGCATAAGTGATGATAATCTCTTTCTATTAATAGTTATGTCTTTCTATCTGCAGGTCTCTTTATGTATGATTCACACCACATATATGTACATGCATATATTCGTACAAATAAGCATGTACATAATAAGTATATGTTTAATATATATATTTCCTTATCAAAATGTAAATTATTTTGTCCTTTCTCTATATACTTTAATTCTCTGCCAGCAGTGATTTATATTAACTAAATCAATTAATAACAAATTGATTAAATCAGTCAATATATTTATTAGACATTAAATCCTGTATACAATCGTCAATGTGATCTGACCACAGCAGTCTTTAAACTTTCCTACAGAAGCAGTTGGCAGGCTCTTCATTCCTGAGCACATTTCAATTACTAAGCAGAAAATCTAAATATTTCTCAAAATCTCACTCAACAATATGCTTGACAACTTTCAAGTTATGTTTTCCCGTGAAAGATGCTCACTGTGTATGGGAAGTGGACAGCATGTGCTGACGGAGGATCGTTTATTCCTGTGTTGGTGTTTTACGTCTTTAGGGACTAGGAGCATCCAAAGGGAAAAACAGGAAACAGTCTTAAAAACAACAGCTTTAAGAAGAAGGTTTCATCTCACTCTAGTTGGTAGACGTATAAAATGGTAAAAAGCTTCAAGATTTTGAAAGGCCCTTGATGTGAGGATAACAGGCATGAAATTCAGACATTCTTCCTCTGGAAGATTTAGTAAACTATACTCAGAGCTTTGCTACAAAGACATTGGTGCAATGATGGGATTTGCATTCAGCAAACTCCTCGTTCCAAAAAATAGTCAGACTCCTAAAGGTGTTTGAATTTTTCCAGTGTGCAAACATGGTCAGCACAGAGAAAATCATGATGAACATAATTTATCCTGTTTTACCTGAAGAGAAATTCTTAGTAGCCTGGTAATATGATTATACCTTCAATTGTGAGAACAGTGATCTCTGTGTCTTTCAAAAAGTATTTTCATCTGTTGTCATACCACAAGAAAAGCCTCATTGTTAAACTATTTTGGGAGAAGAAGACTACACAATTTTGTGTTGTTTAAGTGGAGAGAGGGAGAGAGTGACAGAGAGACAGATAGACAAACAGGTGTGTGTCGTATGTGAATATAACAAATTTCTTATCTATCTATCTCACAGCTTTTTACTTAGAGTTGGTGACTCGGTGATCTCTGCTAGGTCAGCACCAGTAATTTTTGAGCATTGATTAAATGAACGTGTCCCTAAAATATTAAGATGTGGGCAAGGGAACTCTAGCCCATAATATGGTCACATGACCACTCATTGCATCCCCAACATGTATTTGCCGTATGCACTTAAAACTGTTGATCATTCACGCATAAAAGCAATATAATGGATCACTGTAATTGAAATCTGAGTTAAAAAAGACAAAGAAATGCCTGTCGAACTGTGGTTCTGGACAATTCCATACACTGTGCTAAGGGCAGGCTGAATTAACAATGCCCTTTCAGTGCTACCAGAAGCAAATGAAAGCTTCTGTATTGGGCAGGTTGAAAATACAGACTGGTTTGGCGTTCACCCCGAAATTCCAGAGTATCCACCTCTCCCAGTCTTCTCTCACCCTGGGTACCCATTTGACTTTTCATTCTATATCCTGGCTTTTCCAAGGCTGCACCAGCAGAGTGGAAGGACCGGGCCCTGGCTCCTCTGAATTCCTCTTCCCACAGCCAGGAGTTGGGCCGGCAGGGCCCGTGCTCCAGTCTCTTTGTATTCTGTGCTATGATTTCCCCTGCGGGGCCCTTTGTGTCTTATTCTAAGTCAGTTAGGAAAGAAGAGATATTTTGAGAGCCTGGCAATAGAAGAAACACAGTAAACAAAAATGGAACCTTATTGGAATCTGTAGAGTTAGATGCTCATCCTGCAAATTATATCTCTTAACGGATGGAGCTGTGTCATAAAGCACAGTGAGACCATAAACCTCATGGTCTCACTTCCTGCAGACTTTATTTAACTTATCTATGACTTTGGAGAGGAATCTACAGTCTGATTGTTCTGTCTAATTTATTAACTTGTTTTTTTTTGTTTGTTGTTTTTTTTTTTGTTTTTTTTGGCTAGCACAGTGGTTCCAAGGCATTGGTAATTCAGGGTGCCTGATTGTACTCCTACTTGGTCTAAACTAAGTATTTTGGTTCATTCAAAACTGAGAAAAATTTGGTCTAGAAACAACTGAAAGTAGAGGATGGTAGGGCCAATGGAGTGAATCAAGAGATTCTTATGATAGTGGATTTTCACTTAAGAAAAATCAGCCCGTTGTAAAAATGAAATGGTACTTCAGAGGCTCACCCAGCTGAGAATATTCTCTGAGGACACTTCTCTCAGGAACGCGGTTGACAACTGGGGCCAGACACGTAGATGTTGCTTCTGGGCACCACTATGATAGAAAACCTTCAGAAAGTTTCTTCTGAATATATTTCCAAGGAAAGGAGCAACGCCAGGCATTCAGACCTGCATGTGTGTGCTTTTACATGGAAGCCCCAGAGGGAAGTGGAAAATCTAAAATCCTCTTCTTTAAAAAGAAACCAAGGTTCCCAGTTCTTAACGACTTTCTCTGTTGTATTGTTTAAATTCGTCTGAAGTGAGTTCCTAGGATTTTGTGCAGTAGTGACCTCACCTTGTGCAGTTGTGACCTCGCCTTGTGCGAATGAAGCAGGTTTCTTTGTCTAAATGTGTAAACAAGATGCAGAGACTTTTAGCCGTAGAAATGTGACATTCTGTGTGAGTGGGACTATTATTTTCACAAACGCCCGCCTCTGGTTCTAAAAAGTCTCCTTATAAAGGGGGATGATTAAAACTATTGTGAGATTGTTATTGACTCAAGAGAATGCATTTTCTTCGAAGATTTCATTCAAATCCCATATATTAAAAAAGAAGGTTAAAATCTACGTCATTGTACAGTCCAGAAGTTTCACTCAACAGCAACAAGGAAAAAAGTTAATGGCCTTGATTAAGAGCATGTTATATATTTCTACTTCCTCTGTTTTAACAATACTTAAAAAAAATGGAGAATATTTTTGTTTCAAATATGATGCCTTGTGCAGTACCCTATCACTTTTATCCTGGTGACAGATGTGCTTACTTAAGAAAGTAACCTGCTTTAGATAGGTGAGTGAGGTCTTTCAAAATGATCCTTCTAGACCAAACTTGTCCAACCTGCAGCCCACGGGCTGCATGCGGCCCAGGATGACTTTGAATGCAGCCCAACACAAATTTGTAAGCTTTCTTAAAATGTGATAAGATTTTTCTGCAGTTCTTTTATAGCTCCTCAGCTATCATTAGTGTTAGTGTATTTTATGTGTGGCCCAGGGAAGCCAGAAGATTGGATACTCCTGATGTCTCTCACAATAGTCAGGATCCCAGCTTCACACTGACTCACAGCTGCAGGTGATCTCAACTTCAGCGTAAGAGACTTGCCTCTTGACTCTCGAGCTTTGGAATGCTCTTTAGAACAAACTTACCTACTGGTGCTCGTTTCCTACTGTTTGGAAATCAGAAGGCGTTCGTTTATCTCACCAAGGCAATGGCACTGGCCATTTGTTTGCTTGTTCACTTATTTGTGTGTGTGTCTGTCTGCCCACAGCACCTTACTGCAGTCTGACCCACCCCCTGAAGAATGGGGGTATTCTAAACAGGACTGCAGGAGCGGTCGGAAGCAAAGTGCATTATTTTTGCAAGCCTGGATACCGAATGATCGGCCACAGCAACGCAACCTGTAGACGAAACCCACTTGGCATGTACCAGTGGGACTCCCTCACGCCCCTCTGCCAGGGTAAGAAATGCATTTTCATCTCCAGCCTTGTTTCCTGTGTATTACTTTCAATTTAATCACTCTCTGAAAATAAGTGAAATGCTAACTAAGGATAAAAGGTAAGGAAAAATTGAGTGTTGTCTTATAACAATACGAATTAAGCCTTCCACTGGCCATGTAAACTTTCCTGACATGTAGTTGGGTAGCCTGAATTTGGAGAAGGGTTGGACATTCACTAGATCCAGGGTCAAGTTATTCTAACACTTACTTGTACTTCCTCTTGAAGTAAAACACTGTGTCATCCGATTTAAGATTCAAAATAATTTTTCTTTACTGCTGTATTAATTTAAAAACATTAATTTCTGAAAAACTCATTTTCCTTATTTTAGTTTAAAAACTCATTCTTTGAGCCATAAGCTCTGTATTTGATTTTGTTTTGTTATTTAAATCTAGGGCTTGTTAAAGTTGATTTCAATATTTCATGCCTTTCTTTTTTTGCATTTTATCTATCATGTGCATAAAAACCAGGTTTTCAAATAAGGCATTTTAATTTTAATTGAAGGCTTTGAAGTCATGAAATTTTCATAGTTTTATCTTATCAAGGTTTATATTCATAATGAATTATATTAGTCTTTGAAAGCTAATTATGATATATGAGTGGAAGCTCATATTGGCTCTCTTTTTTCTCATTTTCATTAGATATTAGATTTTCTGGTATTGCTTGTGAGACAGTAATAGATGCTTATACTTATCACATTTACTGTAGGTTCCTTTGACTATGAGAAGTTGATCAGACACTTAGCCTGTATTGTTTATGTTTTACCTCTAAAAATTCTTATTTAATGTAAAATAAACATAGAGATAGATTCAAGCAGCTTACTCCATTAGCAATGATTAGAATGATGATTTTTTTTCTTTACAAGAATACTTTTTCTTTTAGAAGAAGACATAGTTCTCATTTGCTTTAAATGTTCTGTGACTCTGTTTATAGAACAGAGTCATAGAATCTATTGCTGAAGAGACCCAACTTCAGCTCAGAGAACACGCCGTGGTCTCTGCCCCACTGGCACTGGAAACAATGCTAATGATAGAGTCACAGCCCCAGTGGCAGCCTGGACACAGGAAAGGGAGTTGGTGGAATGGGCAGAAATTCCTGAAGTCATTTCCTGCCCTCTAGAGTCAAAATAGAGCCTAAGGAGAATGTGCTCTCCAGGCCTAGGCACAAAGGAGTACGGAGAGGGACCTTCATGTCCCAAAGGGACTCGGGTGACGCCAGGCACATGCCAGTCCGTCTTTCTGATTGTTAAGCAAGGAGTTCTGGAAACGGTTTACGAGGTGGAGACATGGCTTGCTCTTTCGGTGAATGGTTGAGAAGCGTTAAAGGATGTCAAATTTATAGCTTTGGGATAAGTCTTGACTTCTTTCTTCTTCTCCCATGGCCTCCCCCAGCAGAACTATTTAATGCTAAGTTAAATGATTCAGAAATACCAATAGTGCACACAGTAAATGAGGCTCTTCTGACATCTTTGCAGCTGTGGCCAAGGAATTTGTGGGAACATGATCAGGGAATCTCTTCTTTGAGTGGAACATGTCAGAGAGGCAATGGCTTTGTGTGTGGGGGATGCTAGAATGAGCACCACATTTTAGAAGAAGAGTTAGAGTATCTTCCTTCAGATTTGTTCTTGGCAATAAATAACTTACATGACTTTGTTCTCAAATTATAAAATATTTAAGAAGTATCATTTTTCAGAAACAGACTTGCGACTTTCTACACTTCCTGTTAACCTTTCTGTTAACCCAGGAGTCAATATGGTTTTGTTTTTCTCTTCATACATGTTGACATTTTCACTTGGAGAGATCTTAAAAGCAATCTAGTTGAACTACTTATTTTTGTGTATTTGAAACTGAAACACATGAAAGTGAAAGGACTTCATAATCATAAAAATGTTGGTCTAGAATTCAGTCTTTCTGTGAGCCTGACCAGTGTTAAAGTGGAATTGTTTCTTGCCAGAAGAAATTATACTTAAAATAGAATCTTGCAAATACCAATTCTGAAAGAATCTATATTTTAAGCACTTAAATTCATTTCCTGTGCAAGAGTCACCTTGTAGATATTTATAATTTGTGTAAAATAGCATTTTAATTATAATATAAAACTATTTTCATTATATATAGACTACAATGCTTTAAACAAAAAAAATTAGCATAAAGTAGAATTTTTTGAACCTTAAAGTTGTGTGGTAAAATTAAATAAGCATTTTTATCATTTTTAAAACAAAATTAAACCTTTAAAAGAAAGAGTAAATATAATGATTCTCTGGATAAAGGCCACTGAGAAGGAATTATAAAATTTTAAACAGCATAAGGTTGTACAACATACATTGGCAATTTATAACCCGACAGTCTTTTGCTTATGCTTAAAGAATTATTACAGTTGATTTCACTAAATTTAATGTAAAATATAAATGTGTGATTTTTGCAGTGTGCAACAAAGGGAGATTTTATTTGGTTTAGCCTACATTTTCCTTCTGTTACTTTTAGAATGTGGTTTTTTTTTTTTTTTTTTGAGATGGAGTTTCGCTCTTGTTGCCCAGGCTGGAGTGCAATGGCGTGATCTCGGCTCACTGCAACCTCTGCCACCTGGGTTCAAGCAACTCTCCTGCCTCAGCCTCTCAAGTAGCTGGGATTACAGGCACCTGCCACCATACCTGGCTAATTTTTTGTATTTAGTAGAATTGGGGTTTCACCATTTTGCTCAGACTGGTCTTGAATTCATGACCTCAGTTGATCCACCTGCCTCAGCCTCCCAATATGCTGGGATTACAGGTTTGCACCACTGTGCCCAGCCTTAGAATGCAGATCTTTTACATACTGTATATACTTCCCTAAGTTGTAGAAACACTTTGGCCTCATATGACAGTTAGAAAGAGACTTTGTGGGTTTTCAGCTGCTTTTCTTCGGCAAATTGCATATGGTGTGTTGTGGATTATACTAGAAACCTTCTCCCATCCACTGACAGATATGTTGAGCAGTTGTGTGTGCTGACCCATGGGGAAATAACAACAAGATTTGTTTCCTTCCAAGGGACTCACAGTCTAATAATGAAAAATAGAATTCTAGGCTGGGTGCAGTGGCTGACACCTCTAATCCCAGCAACTGTGGGAGGCTAAGGTGGGTGGGTGGATGACTTGAACACAGGACTTCAGGCCAGCCTGGGCAACGTGGTGAAACCCTGTCTCTACAAGAAGTAGAAACATTAGCCAGATGTGGTGTGCACCTGTAGTCCCAGCTACTTGGGAGGCTGAGGTGGAGGGATGACTTGAGCCCAGGCAGGAGGCAGAGGCTGCAGTAAGCTGACCTCATGCCACTGCACTCCAGCCTGGGAGACAGAATGAGACCAAAAACAAACAAACAAAAATTGTAAATGATGGTAACTGTCACCGTGGATGGACAGCATGACCTGGAATATAGAGTTGCACATTTGGCTGTGTATAACAGATTAAGCAACATCCTTAGTGATATGCAAATAGGACCCTTTGATGACTGCCTCAAAAATATATGTAATCAGAAAAATTTTTTTAAATCATAGATTCAAAAAGTTATTTTGAGGCTGAAACACTTTAAAAAGAAGAAGACACTCTGATTATCATCGATGTATTGCTCTTTTCCTCCGGTGTTAAAAATGAAACATTAAGGGAACCTTATTTTCTATTTGGTTCTCGTAATCTTAATTAGTAATTTTAATTTACAAGCAGAGATATATGACACTTAGAGAATTTTATTTTCAGTTCTAAGATAATTGAAGACATGTTCTGTCTTTTTTAAAAAAAACTAGCGTTTTTGTTTAAAGACAGTTAATATATATGGAAGAATTGTCACCATTTATGTGATCCTGAATTGCTGACAATTCATAATTATGAAATAAAAATGAATAAAATAAAAATGAAATATGAAATAAAAGACTAGGTGAGCTCTTTCTTTAAAGTGTTTGAAACTCCACATAGGAAAAACAATTTTCAAAAACCCCAGCTAAATTAACACATCACCACATCATCGGCACTCAAATCAGCTCAGAAGTCTTTCATGATTTTATTTTTCCCGCAGATGTTCACATTCGATATAAAGCTGGGACTTGAGAATCTCCACGTAGCACATCTGTAGGGATGAAGTTACAGGTTTTACATCTGAAGCCTCTAGGCCTCAAGCACACTGTCCAAAATAAAAGTAGATACAAGGGCTATGTTTATGGAGAGAGTATATATTTTATATAATTTCTTGACATATTTCCTTTTGTATTACTTCAAATACAGGCAAAGCGATGTTAGCTATGTGTCTGTTTTTGTAGATTAAGGTTGTTGCTGTGGGTCTGAAGCCTCATACAAGTATTAAGGAAGTTATGCCTATTTTCTTTTCAATTCAAACTTAGTTCTGAGTTAGGCGCTGCAGGCAGGTACCAAGGTGAATAAAAAATATTCCCAGTTCTTACGACTCTGCTAGTCCGGAGGCAGAGAGTCTTATAAACTAGTAAGTACAATTCAATATGATAGTCAGCAGGAATGGATGGTCATCCAGCAGGGGCAGCACAGAAGGTCCAGGATAGTTTTCTCTGATGGGATATCTGAGCTGGAATGTGAAGGGGACGTGGTGGAGGACGAGGGGCTGGAGAAATGGGCAGGAGCAGCCCGTGGAGATTCTCAGCTGCATATTTATGTGGCTTTCACCTTCTGTCCTTGCTCGATGAGACTCCACTAAAGAGCAAAAGAGACACAATCCCATCTGCATTTTAGAAAGCTTGATCTTTCAGTGGCATCATGAATGATTGGCGTGAATCCTGTCTGGAATCACGAGTACTCAGTGGGTTGTAGCAATGTGTGTTTGAGGGATATGAAGACTTCTAGAAATACAGTGAGAAACAAGTTTTGCATGAAAACAGATATTGAAAAGACTTAGGAAACAGAGTCCGCAGTCTCTCCTGAAAGCAGGTGAAAAGGAAGAGATAATTCTGGAATGACATATGTTGG